GTTTTCCCTCTTGTGCAGTGAGTCTTATGTCCAACTAGAGAGCTGTTGGTTTCTGCCAGGGTATATGTGCCACTACTGCACCCTTGGGGTATCATGCAGTGCTGGTCATTGATGTGGCTCATAGGTGACATAGCTGGGTAGCAGTGTTGTTTGCTTCTCTTCTTTGGCAGCTTGCATGATGCCTTCTGGTTCCATGAAAGCTAGACTTCAGGGAGGAGGCATTCAGATCAATTCAGGCTCAGGAACTTCTGGGTCCTGGGTTTGAAGTACATGGTGTCTTCGCCAATAGGGACTTGTTTTCTACTTCTATGGAGCAACCAAGGGCAATAGCAAAAGGCTGTACGTTTTGGGAGTCAACCTTGATCAACAGCTCAAAAGGCCAGTCACATCTGGTTTTTATTAAGTAGTCTTTGGCTCTCGGGGTGAGCACTGTTGGCCCAAATGAGCAAAGTTCTTTAAAAGCATATATTTATACACAGAATTACATGTATTAAGCTTTTTAGATAGTTAATAGTATGATTCCTTATGATATTTTCAAATTATCTTGTCTTCTACTTCCTTCTTCTGTATTTCCTTCCCTCTCCTTCTCCCTCTCCCAAGAGCCTCCCCCTTTCCCATTTCCCTGATCAGATCACTTGTACTCTGCTATTTCCCTTTTTAGTGCTTCCCAAACACTCTACCCCAGCACTGGTCCCTTTTTACTTTCCTAGTTTCTGCAGCTACTCCCAGATACCTGGAGATTTGGAGCCAGGAGCTTCATATGAGAACGGACATTTGACATTTGTCTTTCTGGTTCTGGAGTACCTCATAAAATAAATATATATTAAAAATACTGCAAATATTAATTACTAGGGGTTGGGGCTGCAACTCTGTGCAGAATATGTGACCAATGTTCATGGAGACCCTTGATCTCCAGCACTGCAAATTTAATAAACAAATCAAATAAACAAATAAGAAGCCATCTCAAAATTACAAGAAACATTTTTAAGCTAGTTTAGGGTTGTCATTATGAATTCTCTGAATTGTACACATGTATGTGCACTTCCTTGCAAAGGCGTTTGAGATCTTTGTTATGGAAGAAATATGCCTCCTCAGCGAGAAGTCCCTCTTTACTAAAGCTCCTGTCCCACCAGGGCTGAGGCCCAAACAAGAGTTGGTGTTGAACAGAGGTTTTACTTACCTACCTATACCATAGGCTCATACATTTCACAAATACTGTCATCCATAAATCTTTTTTGATTGCCTGCTTCCAGGTTATACTTCAAACATTTAAACAGAGATAGGAAGCCAGCCTCAAGTCCCGTCCCTTAGGCAGATGGGAGATTTACACGGCCCAGATATTGCCGCAATTACTTCTTACGTATACCAGAGTTATTCTTTTTAGCTGTTACCTGGGGTCATCTTGCCCACTTGATAGAATTATATGTTTATGTATCTGTTCCCACTTCGCAGAACTAGATACTGCAGTAAACAATGAAGACAGTGTTACGTATTTCTTAAGACGAGCCTCTCCACTGAAGCAAATAATTCCAATCGGACCAAATCTGATCAAATAAAAGATGCCCATGTTTAATGGAGTGCACCCAGGTGGCCCCCGGAAAATGTGGAAAGGGGAAAAGAGATGGGAGAGACCATGTTAAACCCGGAGACCACGTGCTCATTCTCTGGGGACGGGCAGTTTAAATAGCCTGTGGAAATGGTCCCGACCTTCCCTGGGGAGGGGTCACTGTCAGGCTTTAGACTAAGGCAACCCAAGGGGAGGGGGCTTATGCCAGGAGCTGGGGTGAAGCCCCCAGCCAAACAATCCGAACTTTTTGTATAAAGGGGTGTTAGGGAGCTGAGGTGACGTTTTGGACCAAACAGACAGGTACACTTCTAGGCACCAATAGTCTATGGAGAGTCAAATAATGAGATTTCAAAGAGAGATAAATGAACTCTAGAGCCTTGGCTGGTATAAGTGGCAGAGTTTCAGTCTCTGTCAGAGTAGTCCCGGAAGCTAGACGTTCAACCACGACAGGAGAAAGCAATGGATAATGAATGTAAGGAATTGGAGGAAGGAGAGAAGACGAGAGGTGCCTCACGGTCAAAAGTACTTGTTGCTCTTGTAAAGGAACCTGGTTTAGGTTCCCAGAACCCGCACAGCCGCTCACAACCACCTGTATCGCCATTTCCAGGGGCTCCAATGCCCTCTCCAATTTCTGCAGACGTCGGGTACATACTTGTACACACACAGGCAGAAAACTATTCATACATAAAACATTTTTAAAGGAAAGTAAGTAATTAGGAACTAAATGTTGTGACAACAAAATTTACTGGGAATAGAGCACAGGTGTCTAATTCCAGCACTTGGGGGAGGGAAGCAGGAGAGTCTGGAGTTCAAGGTCAGCTTCCAGAATGGCGCAGCAAGTCTCTGGCAACACGCGACTCTTTTGTTTTTAGTGTCTTTGAGTTATGTCTTAATTTGTCTTCTTCTGGAGTAAAATACTCTGGTTAAAAACAATTTAAAGTACAAATGGTTAATGTTGGATCACAGTTCAAGGATACAGCAGAAATCAGGCAGGGCACTGGAAGCTTGAAACCCACAGGGCTGGAAAGAATGAAAGCATCGTCCTTCATTTATACAGCTCAGGCTCCTAGCTGTGGAATACCTAGAAGTCTATCTCTAGGTGGTTCTAGATGTTACCAAGTTGACAGTTAATACTAATTATCACAAGTTTAATATAAAAACAATCATGCATATTAAAAAGTGGACTGAGCTAGGTGTACACTAACCCCAGCATTTGGAGGCAGATCTCTGTGAATTCCAGGTCAGCCTGGTCTACAGAGTAAAATTCTAGTACAGTCCTGGCTACACAGAGGGAAGACCTTATCTAAAAAGAAAATAAGATAAAACAAAGCAAAAACAAACGAAAACATATTTATGGGGGCTAGAGAAATGGCCCAGTAGGCAAGGTGGTGGCCATACAAATATGAAGAACAGAGTTTGAACCCAGAGGCAGGAGTGGCTAGAGGAACCAAGTTGATGGAAAGATACATATTAAAACATTAGACTGTGAGGTGGGTCAGATGTAGGGATGACTGCACACAGGCCTGGCAACCTGAGTTCAATTCCAAGATCCCAGAGGGGGCAGGAGAGAATAGTGATTGTGTAAGTGCACAGATAGATGTACCTGGCTTATAGAGATTTTAATTCCTCTGAAGTTCTCAACTATGTTTTCTTGTTTATAGTAGTTAATCTTATGCATCAGTTTAAATTGGCCAGGGTGCCCAGACAGTTGGTTTAACATTATTTCGTTATGGTAAACATTGTCTTTTTGTGATAGGTTCTTGCTAAGTATCCCTGGCTGGTCTAGAACTCACACTGCAGCCAGGTGGGGGTGGTGCACGCCTTTAATCCCCGCACTCAGGAGGCAGAGGCAGGCGGATCTCCGTGAGTTCCAGGCCAGCCTGGTTGACAAGAGCTAGTTCCAGGACAGGCACCAAAAACTACAGAGAAACCTTGTCTCAAAAATCAAAAAACAAAAAAACTCACACTGTAGACCAGGTTGGTCTCAAGCTCAGAGAATCTGCCTCCTAAATGAAATGCTGGGATTAAAGGTATGTATCACCATACCCTGTCATTTAAAAAAATTAAGTTTAGTATTCATTTTATTTGTTTATTCATTCACTTATTTGAGACTGGGTCTCTCTGGCTGTCCTGGAACTCACTCTGTAGACTAGGCTGGCCTCAAACTCAGAGATCTGCCTGCCTCTGGGATTAAAGCATGTGTCATCACCGCCAGCAAGTTTAGTATTTAAAGTGTAAAGGCATAGCTCCATGATAGGATGGTTACCTAGCATGTGCAAGGCCTTGGGCTTGACCCCATCATCCTACCCTCGCACCCCAAAAACTGGATTTATATTGAGTAAAACAGAGTGCCTACCACAACACGGGCAGCATCATCTAATTAAGCTGAAGGCCTTAATACAGCAATTCCACAAAGAACTGGTTTTTCTACATGGGGTAAAGCTGACCTCACTTTTTCTCCACCCTTACTGGATGTCTTAGTTAGGGTTTCTATTGCTGTGAAGAGACGCCATGACAACAATAACCTTGAACTCAGAGATCTTTTGCCTCTGCCTCCAGAGTGCTGGGATTAAAGACGTGCGTGTGCCGCCATGCCTGGCTGACCATGGGAATGTGTGTAAAGGAAAACGTTTAATTGACTCTGGCTCACAGTTTCAGAGGTTTAGTCCATTACTGTCATGGTTGTATACAAGCAGAGATGGTGCTGGAGCGGTAGTTCTGTGTTGGAAGAAGGGTTACTTGTTGGTTCCTGGCCGCCTGACTCGCTTAGACCCGAAATAATCACACAGAAACCGTATTAACTAAATCACTGCTTGGTTCATTTGCTCTAGTTTCTTATTTGCTAACCCTCACATCTTAATTTAACCCATTTCTAGTAATCTGTGTATTGTCACGTGGCTGTGGTTTACCAGCTAAAGTTCTAGCATGTCTGACTCTGGCGGTGGCTCCAAGGCATCATTCTGACTCTGCCCTTCTTCCTCCCAGCATTCAGCCTAGTTTTTCCACCTAGTTTTGTTTTTCCCTGCCATAGGCTCAGAGCACTTCTTTATCCATTAACCAATAAAAGCAGCACATAGATAGAAGGACCTCCCACACCAGTTCAGAGTTCTACATCTTGATCCACAGGCACAGAAGTTAACTGTGTGTCCTACACTGGGTGCAGCTTGAACACAGGAGACCTCAAATCCTGCCCCCACAATGACATGCTTAAGACCACACCTCCTAACAGTGAAACTCCCTATAGGCCAAACACTGGAACACGAGTCTGTGGGAGCCATACCTATTCAAACCACCACACGGGACAATCATATGTTCAGCAGATTTTTCCTGTCTTCCTTTTTTATATAATGATTTTAGTTTTATCTCTGCTTTTTCAAGGGTCTTATCTTGTGAAACTTAGTAAATCCTCCAACAATAAAACAAAACAACAAAGTATCAACCCCACAGTTTTATTTGTAAAGAACAAAGCATGAAAAGTCATATTTAAATGTACTCCAAAACCTGAAAAATCCATGTCAGTTTGTTCAATATGTTAAAGTGCTTAATGTCACAATACTCTTCAGACTTTATACTATGTTCAGATGGGGGAGGGAGGGGGAGAAAATTCCAGTTGTGACATACATAGTTAATAATACAAAGGGAAACAATATAATTTAAATGGAGAACTATTAAAAAACAAACAAACAAAAACACAGGGTACCTTTACATGTGGTTCAAGTGCAGCAGTTTTTTTCTGTTTTATTCTCCTCATTTGACCTTAATATTCCTTTCCACATCAAAGTCTGTTTATACACTGGATCCAACCCACAAGTAATTAGAACAAGCATGGCTCCTTCCTAAATAAGGATATGACAGAACCCTTTCAGAGAGGGGGGAAGTTTATTTGGTGATTTCTTTTCAGTCTGATATAAATATGAATACTTCAGTTTGTCTTTCTGAATTCAGTTTTGACCCTATCCTTGAGAGAGGCACCAGATTTGGGGAGTTATGATCTCTGCTGAACTTACTGTTCTCTTCTGCTGGGGGGCTGAGCCCAGGCCTGGGTATGCTAAGCACGTGTATCAGTGAGCTCCAGTCTAGCCCATCCTTGGATTCCTTTCCTATACTGTAACAGCACGTCTTCAAAAAGCTTCAAATTCAGTTTGATCCAGCAGATTTGTATATGTATTTTAATAGAAATAAGGGATAACTGTTTCCAAGTTATGCTAAATGATAATGCAATCGTTACATTAGAAACAAAGATTTCTAAAAACACAGATGCTTGCCAAGTGTGGTGGTGCACATCTTTGATCCCAGTGCTTGGGAGGCAGAGGCAGGTGAGTTCAAGGCCAGTCAGGTCTACCTAGTGAGCTCCAAGACAGGAACTCCAAAGCTACACAGAGAAGCCCTGTCTTGAGAAACAAACAAAAACCCAAACCAAATAGAACAAAAAAATTAATTAAAAAATAATAATAAAAGTCAAACCAACCAGAGGCAAAAGACAGAGGGGCTTGGAAACAGATGAACTGCATCAAAGTGGAAGAGAACTCTGCTGTCAACCAATGAAGGTATGCTAATACTGAAATATGTAAGTTCAGAATGCTCTGTCAATACCATGAAAAGGGTAGACTAGCCTCTGTAGACCTCAGAGAAAATACAATTTCCTAAATAAAAAAAAAACTATTGAAAAGACATCATTCTTAGATATTTTATGCTATGAAGAGCTCTGTTCCCAATGCCGTCAACTATTTTCCTGGGGATCTGATATTCTTGTCTACTGCCTCATATTTTGAAGTATTTTAGAGATATTAACACATGCTACACAGGAATTATTATTTTAATCTATTTTTCTTTACATTTACTTATATGTGCTTACTGTCAGAAAAGCAGAAGCAACTTAGTATTATTCAGTGTTATAGTTCATTAAAATAATTTCTTAAAAAGTCATGTTAAATAAATCCCACAGAGCTAGAAAAGGTACAGTAAGTATAAACATTTAAAATGAATTTTGCAAGTTTTAGGTTTCCTCTATCAAGTGTTCATCCCGAGTGGGAAACAAGGTTAGGCTGGGAGGCTCCACTTTGCTCTTGGTCAGTCATGGTAAGGTGCTGGGGGTTCCCCGCCTCCTGGAGTATAGACAACTTCTCATATCTAATATGCAAACCCAGTCACCATAGAGGTGACATGAAGGTGCTTGAGATTAGAAGCTTTAGTATTGAAGAAAAATACTTAGACAGTAAACTTTTGAAGAACTCAAGATTTTGGCAATTTTATTTTTGCCTGCTGAGGATAGAGCCCCAGGTTTTGTACACGCTACCTAAACACTCTATCACTGAACTACATCTCCAGGCATAGCAAATTTAATAAAAATTAACAAAAACAAGCAGTTTTGATTTTCATTTACTTTGAGGTGATTCTAAAGTATAGTACTAGTTTAAAAAAACGCATAGCAAGAAGGGTGCCTGTTGTATGGTCCTTACAAACGTTGGCCTGGAGGGCTATGTTTTGAGAAATCTGCTTCTGCTGTGATGTAAATATTTTCCATATTGACTCAGTTTGTTATAAACCACATGATAAGTCTTATCATTTGTAAGAGGTAACCCCAAACTCAGTGGGAGCATTCTTATTTATCACATCCTAAGGTCTTTATGGTGTTTCTACACATTGAATTTATTCCATAAGGCAAAGGGAAATTCAAAGGAATCGGCATATGGGCCAGTCAAGATGTTCCCAAAAGGCCTAGCTGTGTGAGCAGGTGCTACACATGGGAGACGGGCCTTCAGGAGGATGGACGTTGGTTTTAATCAGTCACTTCACTAGTCCACCCAAATGATACCTCACAGAACAGAACTTTATAGGCATTTTTTTTTTGTTTGTTTTTTGGTATTACTGTAAGTAACAATTCTAAACACAGTGGAAATGCCAATCTGCTCCCAGTTCTTACAGCAGACGCAATGTCTAAGAGATTAAGGACAGTTTGTTGGGCAGGGCACTCACTTGAATCCCCTCACTTAGGAGGTAGAGGCAGCTGGATCTCTGTGAGTTCCAGGTCAGCCTGGTCTAAAGTGGAATTCCAAGGACAGCCAGGGCTACACAGTGATATTCTGTCTTACAAACGAAAAACAAAACAACAACAAAACCATTTAAGTATCAGTCCTTATTAAGTATTACAGGAATATTGCTTTATATCTGTACAGGTGAATGAAGATTCAATAGGAGAAATACGATTAGGTAAGAATGCTTTGAAGGTTGGTTTCATGCAGTCTGGTGTGGTAAAAAGCACAAATTATAAACCCTGTGTTGTCAAGGGGGAAAGGGCAAGAATGTAATCTCTTTGATTCTGTTCCCACCTATAAACCAAGCAGCTGTACTGGGTGACTCAATTGTAACAGACTCAATTGTAGCACACTAGCTTAAAATCTACCTGGTGCTGTTTCAGGACGGCCTATGGGAGAGGGAACAACAGCCTGATCTGGACCATTTATAGCTCCTGGATGTTTCCCATAGTAGGTTTGTATCTCTAGAATACTTATTTTAGGTAAACAAATGTCTGGTTCACCCAGGCCATCTGGAGCCCTCAGCCCTTCCCTTTCCTTCACATTCCCAGGAGCTGTTCCCTGGCTCAACGGTGTCTGACACAGGGAGTCAGGTCCCTCATCTATTAGCTTCTTCGTCTAGTAAATAAGGGAAACAGTGCAGTTGGCAAGAGCCCAGGACCCTCAGGTTGCACAGGGTCCTCAGAGGCTGCAGCCCTGCCTTTTGGGTACAAAGGGGAATAGACCTGGAGCCCTGCTGAGGCAATTTTGCTACTAACAGGGTATCAGCGCCTAATTAGAGGCTACGGCTTAGCAGAAGATGAAGAGTTATGTAATCGCTAACATATTTATTTAGCTTAAAAAAATAAGACTATCAAACTAGAAAGTTCTAACTTCAGGTCTTTCTAAATTGTTTCACTTCTCAGTCAGCTGCAGCCTGAACTGCCTGTGCCAACTGCTTTACATTTCCCTGAAACACCCACAAAGGTTTCACTCTTTCTCCCAGCTTCTGATATTTGCATTATCATGGTCAACAAATACTTTCACAAAAGCATTCCAAATCACACAGAGACCTCCCCTTCTTCCACATTCCTTCCATTTCCTGAGGGGGAAGGGGAAGGCGGAGGGGGTGGCTGGAACCTAACAAAGACAGGGTTGGCAGTCTAACTCTGGTTACGGATTTTAGAAGGCCGAGTGAAAATACCGAGTCATAAAGGTTTTGCACTTACTATGACTAAACGGCTAATACTGAAATTCATTATCGCCAAGGTGCTCTCAAATAACAGTAATAAAAATTCCAAGAATGAAGCTACTTCAGGCTAATCTTTCCAAAGTAAAGTAAAGAAGCTAAAATCTCATACTTAAACACACTTCTCAGGACTTTCGTGCTTTTCTTTCCGATGAGTCAAGCTCTTGGGACCTGGCATTTGCTGTCTGTATGTGTGTGTCTGCGTTCGAAGACAGAGTCTCACTTTGTAGTTCTGTCTGGCCTGCAACTCAGAAAGATCCACCTGCCTCTGCCTCCCCAGTGCTGGGATTAAAGGTGTGAGCCACCAAACCCTGCTGGAGTCTGGCATTTAAAATACTTTAATTATATCTTTTACTTGAACCAATTGAAAAAATGTCTCCAAACTGGAGAAGTGACTCATAATTCAAACATATTAAATGGTTTATAACCTAAAGGTAAATGAGGACTCTTGTATAATGTGTAAAGCTGTATCCATTCACCACACACAGGACGGAACTCCAGGAAGGACGGCTGCTTCACAACAATGCATATGGGTTCCTTTGTGATACCTGGAGGGTTGCGCTACTGACACATTTACTGGCTTCTTCCTGACTAGCACCGCTCTCCCCACCCCCGACATTTTTAAGCTACTTATTTTAAGTCACAGGAATATTCAATCTAAGAAAAGTATCTTATTAGAGTAATATAATTTCTTAAAGATAGCATATTTACACACATCTAACACATGAAAATACTCTGTTTTATACTAAATTTCAGGTTCGAATGAACTACAATACAGCACTTTGCCTCGTGTGCAGAGTGGAGATTGTTCAAACTGGGCTTCTACTGCACCGCCCAGGCAGTGACCGCCCAGGCAGTGACCGCCCTGGCAGTGACCGCCCAGGCAGTGCTCCCTATGGTCAGACCAGTCCAGAGGCCCCAGAGCTGGGGAGGGCTCAGGAGCCAGCGCAGGATGAAGAGTTTCTGTCTGCTGGTTACACGTCTACTCCTTTGATTAGAGATCCTTCCAAGACTATGGTGAAATCCTGAATGGTCTGTAGAATTCGGATCAGGGAGTTGACAGTCATGTGGTCTCGGAGAAGTGCACTCTCTTCGTACATACGGGTGATGGCAGGACACTCCGCTAGCAATGGGATCCACTGTGGGAGCAGGTGATCCCTGCAGGTCCAAACAGAAACAGCAGCTGAGCTCCCTGCGTCTTTCCCTTTAATCATCAGTCAACTGAAACAATAACACTACAATAAAATACGAGTTCTCAGTAGGAGCAGCTGTGGTGGCTATGCCTGTTTAGTTCACGCACTTGGGAAGCAGATGCAGGCAGATCTCTGAGTTTGAGGCCAGCCTAGTTTATATAATGAGTTACAGGCTAGCTACAGCTACATAGTGAAACCCTGTCTTAAAATAAAATAAAATAAAATTTCCGCAAGGCATCTTCTCCTGGGAGAAGGCTGAAGTCTTGGGTACAGTCAGAGGAAGAACTCGCCCACAACAAATACAAACAAACAAAAAGGCAACTTGTCAGGTGACCGTCTAGGCGATGAAGGGTGGAATCACACCTTGGTGGGACTACTTTGTAGTTACATCTCTTATCTCTTATTCAATCCTTTTCCTTAAGTCAGGGCCCTAAAATGGATTAGGAGAATATATATCTCTGTCTCTTTTCCTAATGTGGCTATATTGAATAAATAACCCTTTTCTGCTTTTCACTATTTATTTTTTAAATTTTATTTATGTTTGTATGCCTGTGTGAGTTTGTGCCATGTGCATACAATGCCTAGGAGGCCAGCAGTGGTGGCCACACTCCCTGGAGTCAGAGTTACAGGTGGTTATTTGTTGCTGGATGTGGGTGCTGGGAACTGAACTTGGTCCTGTGGAAGAGCACCTGCTCTGAGCTGAGTCATCTCCCAGACCCTGATTTCACTATTAATTTGGCTTTTACTTGGTTTAACCAAGTAGCTGAACCTGATTTGAAGCACAAGCTGTGACCCACAGGTCAGGCAAGAACACACTAGTATTTTCAATTGGCAGAGAAGGAGTCAGATGGTGACCAATCTGGCCAAATTCTGTGTTAATGTTAGCATACTTAGGAAATGAGTTTACATTAAAGGGAGTATTGGTCACACACCCTGTTCCCCACCCTCCTGCCTGTCTAGGAATCAGAGTGCCTAGCTGCAGGCTTGTAAAGGAAAAACTTCTCCATTCTCAGAAAGACGTAGGAATGGAACATACATACTTCCACCATCTGGGCTGATTCCCCTCTTCAGAGACCCTGCCATGTTGTCTGCGCATGCAAGGGCCTGAGTTTCTCAGTCACCTCTCTTGTCTGTTCACTATGTAACTGTTAGGTCTCACTCTGTACCCATGACTCCTCCCAGCACTTCTCCACCCTGCCCTTCCCTAAACCTCTCCATCTCAGGGGCTTTGCTTCCCTTCCCCCAGCCAGATATTTTATAACTCAGCCATTCTGGTCTCTTGGCCTAGGATCCTCTCTTGATCACAGGATCCTCTCCCTATGGTCCAGTTTAGACTGCTGGTTACGTTCAGCCTGGACTCTTCCCTCTGCCTCTTTCTCTCTGACACCTATAGTAAAAATCTTCTCCATACTTTAGGAGTAGTCATATCATCATCCTTTTATTTCTTTTTTCTTTTTCTTTTCTTTTCTTTTCTTTCTTTTTTTTTTTTTGTTTTTCAAGACAGGGTTTCTCTGTAGCTTTGGGGCCTGTTCTGGAACTAGCTCTTGTAGACCAGGCTGGTCTTGAACTCACAGAGCTCTGTCTGCCTCTGCCCCTGAGTGCTGGGATTAAAAGTGTGTACCACCACTGCCTGGATCCTTTTATTTCATTGCTTTGTTCACTTAATAATTTTGCCAAATAACTCAGTATTCCCTGCTGGGATCCATCTCAATGTTCCTCTCAAAACCTCCGGAGTAAGTGCTGGCTATGCAAGCTTCTCTTAGCTATTCATCCCTCTGCCTTTTTTCTTTTCTTTTCTTTTCTTTCTTTCTTTCTTTCTTTTTGGCTATTTGAAATAAACTCTCCTTATTTAGTTCATTCTAGCACCAAATTTACTCAGAGATTGGGGGAGGGTGGTGGTGAGAGAAATAATAAATGAGTGAATGAGTTAAGGGTAGACATTCAAAGCTAAATAGTTTATTTCCTTTAATTTGCCTCCCCTTACAGGATTTCTTTATGTAGCCCTGGCTGTCTTGGAACTCACTCTGTAGACCAGGCTGGCCTTAAATTGAGAGATTCTCCTGCCTCTGCCTCCTGAGAGTTGGGATTAAAGATGTTCACCACCACCGCATGGTTTCTTTTAAATTTTTTATATTACTACCATCATTATTAATATTTTTAGTGGTGCTGGGGTACAACCCCAGGGTCTTGTGCACTTTAGGCAAGCACTCTAGCACTGATTTATATCTCAAGATTGTTTGCTTAAAAAATAAAATATCAGAGCTGGGTGGTGGTGGCGTATGCCTTTAATCCCAGCACTTGGGAGGCAGAGACAGGTGGATCCCTGTGAGTTCGAGGCCAGCCTGGTCTGCAAGAGCTAGTTCCAGGACAGGCTCCAAAGCTACAGAGAAATCCTATCTTGAAAAACAACAAAAACAAAACAAAACGACAACAAAAACAAAACAAATATATCTTGTTTTAAAAATGCTTTCTTTTTAAAAAAAATTATTTTAAGCAAAACATGGTGGCAAATGCATTTAATCCCAGCACTCAGGAGGCAGAGGCAGGCGAATCTCTCTGAGTTCGAGGCCAGCCTGGTCTACAAAGCAAGTTCAAGGATAGCTAGGGTTACACAGAGACATCCTACCTCAAAAGACAAAAAGCAAAAAAGAAAACAAAAACCAACAACCCCCCCCACAACAAAAGAACAAAACAAAACAAAAAAGTATTTTAACTTTTACTGAATTTATTTATTTATTCTTTCCCCACACCTCCCTCCCCCCCTTTCTACCCAGTGCTATGTTGAACCTATGTCCTTTTGCACATTGGTTGGGGTTCTACCACTAAGCTCCACCCCCGGTCTTTTTTCCGTATTTTGAGGCAGCATCTCACTAACTCCCTAGTCTGCTCTTGAACTTACTCTGTGGCCAAAGCAATGCCTAAACTTGTGGTTTGTCTGTCTTTGCCTCCTGAAGAGCTGGTATTACAGACCAGTGCCACGAAGAATGACTACTTTGTTACTATGTGATTTTGGGATAGTTTGTTAATGTATTTGGATCTCATCTATTTCCTATTTTCTCACTTATAAAATAGGTAGATGGGGGCTGGAGACATGGCTCAGTCTTTAATAGTACTTGCTGCTTTTGCAGAAGATCTAGGTTCAGCTTCCAGGCCCCACATGGTTCTCAAAACTGACTCCAGTACTCTGTTCTGGTTTCTAAAGGCACCAGGCACTTAGCCCATGTACACATGCAGGCAAAAGAACATACATGCATTTATTTTTGGCTTTTAGAGACAGGATTTCTTGGGGGAGGACCTTGGACTTCCCACAGGGCAGGGAACCCTGACTGCTCTCAGGACTGGAGAGGAAGGGGAAGAGGGAACAGGGGGAGGGGGAGGGAAATGGGAGGAGGTGGAAATTTTTAATAAAAAAAAATTATAAGAGACAGGATTTCTCTCTGCATGTCCTGGAATTTGATTTGCAGACAAGGCTGGCCTTGAACTCAAAGATCTTCATTCTTTGTTTCCAGAGTGCTGGGATTAATGGTGTGAGCCACCACACCTGGCAAGGCAAATCATTTATACACAAAATAAAAATACAGAAATCTTCTTAAGAAGTGGGTATATCAGTTGCTATTGTAACACAAAGTTAATGAAAAAACAGCAGTCTCATAATAAAAATTGGAAAGAAGAAACCCAAGAAAACGGGCATAACCCGGTATAACTTTTCTAGACTCACGTTACCCACACAACAGAAAGAAGAAAAGCATAACTCTGACTCTGTACCTTGTTCCAAGGCAAACTAGGATCTGGAATTTGCCGTCCTTCCCAATGCTCCTGGGTGCAGTATTTATAGCATTCACATAGTGGCAGAAGGTTTTACAAGATGATCTCTGAATGAGTACATCATCTTCATTGTCTAAAATCTGGTCAGTAGTTTCAAAATAAGCCACTGCTTTCTCTGAGGAAGACAAGCAGAATCACACCACACTACAACAGTTATATATAGAAATGTCAACACTCTATATGTAGTAAAAATCCTCTGATTTATTCTGAAAACTCTACTGAGGCTTGGCATCATTGTCAGCCCTCTAATCCAAATCATTACCTTCACTGATTTCAGAATGAATTACAGAGATCTATGGTTCATGACAGAACACTGATTCCCGGTGCCGGGATTAAAGGTGAGTGCCACTACTGCCTGGCAGTAATTTATTTCCTAATCACACATTCCAGAGGGCTGGAAAGTTTAATCTTTTTAAATGTTCTCATGAAACAGAAATTGGCATTAAAAAACAAAAGAGTTAGAGAGAGAGAGAGAGAGAGAGAGAGAGAGAGAGAGAGAGAAAAGAAAAGGAGACTTAGACTATCTTCTAAGAGTAGAGTGGACCCTGCAAGGAGTAACAACACAGTGACCATATCCCTCTTCTAGAATGGCTGCCTTCAGTAAGATTATTAAACGAACCTAAAGGAGCCTGGTGGAGCACTGACTAAATCAGAGAACAGAGATGCAGTATGCAGACATAAGAGCCAGGAGAAATAAAATAAATTCTAAGTTTTCCAGAAAGGGGGGAAACAAATCACTCTTAGGTGTCTTGTCAATTTTCCTTTCTTTGCTTAAAAGTTCTGAGTTCACATGGGCCTGCTTTACAAACACAATATGGCTCACTGAACCTTTAAAGAAACTGGAAGGGCTGGAGAGATGGCTCAGCGGTTAAGAGCATTGCCTACTCTTCAAAGGTCCTGAGTTCAATTGCCGGCAACCACATGGTGGCTCACAACCATCTGTAATGAGGTCTGGTGCCCTCTTCTGGTCTGCAGACAGAATATTGTATACATAATAAGTAAATAAATATTTTTAAAAAAAGAAACTGGGAGCTAAAATTCTTCAAACCTAAAGAAAAAAAAATCACAAAACTTAGGATGCTTTAAAAAAAATTTATTTATCTTTATGTGTATGGGAGTTTTGCCTGCCTGTCTGCCTGCGTACTAGGGGAATACAGTACCTTCAGATGCCAGTAAAGGGCATTAGATCCCTTGGAACCATAGTTAAGGAGAGTTGTACGCCATCAGGTGGATGCTGGGAACCGAACCCAGGTCCTCTGGAAGAGCCATCTCTCCAGACTGCTCCTTTATTTTATTAAATACTTTGTGTGTGTATGTGTGGGGCGACTTGTGGGAGTCAGTTCTCTCTACACCTGTAGGTCCCTGGGATCAAACTCAGTGCTCTATTTGTTGAGCCCTCAATAGTCTAAAGACATGCAAGTGTACACTACTTTTTATTTATTTAAAATGTTAGCTTTCGGAGTTATTTATTTATTTATTTATTAGGTATACAATATTCTGTCTGTCTGCACGTCTGCAGGCCAGAAGAGGGCACCAGATCTCATTACAGATGGTTGTGAACCACCATGTGGTTGCTGGGAATTGAACTCAGGACCTTTGGGAGAGCAGGCAATGCTCTTAACCACTGAGCCATCTCTCAAGGCCCCAGCTTTCGGAGTTTGTTTTTTTTTAAGATTTATTATTTATTATGTATACAATATTCTGTCTGTATGCTTGCTGGACATGAAGAGGGCACCAGATCTCACTACAGATGGTTATGAGCCACCATGTGGTTGCTGGGAATTGAACTCAGGACCTCTGGAAGAGCAGTCAGTGTTCTTAACCTCTGAGCCATCTCTCCAGCCCAGCTTTCGGAGTTTTTAAAGAAACATTTCAGTGGCTTTATAATAGCGAACTTCTACTTAGTTTACCTACGAAGTCCCAGATGAAGACATTCTTGTGAAAGATGCGAGCAGATTTGAACCCATGATGGAAAACTTGTTCCAATGCAGCAACCAGGCCATTTTCTCCGCAGAGCAGCACTGTGAGGCTTCCTCTCTGTAAACCATAGGTTAACACAGTGTGTGACAAGGGAATTCTGCTGCTTCTATGCTTAAACGAAATAAAATGAAAACAAAAACAACACTGGAGGGGCTGTACAGATGGCTCAGAGGTAAAGAGCGCCGGCTGCTCTTTCAGGACTGGGGTTCAGGTCCCTGCACCCACATTACAGTCCCTTTACAGTTCCAGGGAAATCATTGTTCCTTTCTATCTTTCCAGGAACCAGGCACGTATATAGTACACAGACATACATGCAAGCAAAAAACTTATACATAAGAAATAAAGTAATCCCCTATCCCACACCAAACCCCAAACAATGACCACACTAGAGAAACACGAGCTGAGCGAGGTAGCCAGGCGGGGGTGGTGCATGACTTTAATCTAGCACTCACAAGGCAGAGACAGTCAAATTGAGGCCAGTTGGTCTATAGAAAGAGAGCTACAGGATAGCCAGGGCTACACAAAGAAACTGTCTCAAAACAAAACAAAACAACAAAAAAGGTCCCCGCATACGAGCAGTTTTACTGCCCCCCAGTACCTCCTTTTCAGGTTTGTGAAAGTGCTTCACAATGTTATTCACAGCTTCTCCAATCCCTTCCTGGATCTGGCCAGCATTGGGCTCTGCAAAAGAATCAATATTGTCGACATTTTAAAAAGATTTATTATGTATACAATGATCTGCATAATACATATATGCATGCATGTATGTGTGTATGTATATATAGTCCTACTGTTTACATTTTTTTTAAAAAATATTTATTATGTATACAATATTCTGTCTGTGTGTATGCCTGCAGGCCAGAGGAGGGCACCAGACCCTATTATGGATGGTCGTGAGCCACCATGTGGTTGCTGGGAATTGAACTCAGGACCTTTGGAAGAGCAGGCAATGCTCTTAACCTCTGAGCCATCTCTCCAGCCCCCTACTGTTTACATTCTTGTCAGAAATAAATAAACCAAAACACTATGGGATGGTCAACTGTAAGTCTCTGTAGGAAAAACTCCATCTAAGCAAGCTAGCTTTTCCCAAGACTCAGTGCAGTTTGCTGATGGACAGAATAGCCAAGTCCAAGGTTTGCGATGCACTGGGAAGGAATCCAAGAAATCCTCAAATCCCAGCCACAGAACCTGCAAACTACAACTCAAGTCAAGTTGGTGCCGGACAATTGTCTATATTCTGTCAATTATGGTTTAAATAAATGCGGATTGGCCAGTAGCCAGGCAGGAAGTATAGGTGGGACAACCAGACAGGAAGTAGAGGTGGGTCAATGAGAATTCTGGGAAGGAGGAAACCCATTACTCCCTAGTCCTGCCCAGACAGAAGGCAAGAGATAGGAAGATGTGACCCGCCCTGCTGAAAAAGGTACTGAGCCACGTGGCTAACACAGATAAGAATAATGGGTTAATATTAGTTATAAGAGTTAATAAGAAGCCTGAGTTAATGGGCCAATCAGTTTATCATTAATATAGACCTCTGTGTGATTTCTTTGGGGCTAAATGGCTGTGGGACCTGGTGGGAGGACAGGAACCAGGCAGTTCAGAAACTCCACCAACATCAAGTGTTTAATAATTTAAAAATAAAACAAAACCAAAATCCTAACAAACTTACAACCACTCCCCATGAGAAAACAGAACAAGGTATTCAATATAATCACCTGGTACCTATCGTGAAGCGCCAACAACTCTCTAGATGTGAGGGGTGGAGTGGGGAAGACCCCTTCATCATAACTCAGAGGTTTCCTGCCAAGAATCTTGTGGGTGTGTGCTAAGACAGTTGAGGCTCTCAATGACCTGCATGAAGTTCTGCTGCTGTGGTTTAAGGGAAGAGGCCAGGTGATGCCCTGGCTAGAGGTTAGGCTTTCTTCTCTTCCTGACAGGTCACTCTCCTTGCTCCATTCTCCCCGTGAGCACTTGTTCATGTATGCCTCTTTCTAGACAGCTTGGAAGGCTGCCTGAACGGGACCTGAATCACTGTGGTGGTTTGAAGTAGAATGACCTCCATAGGCTCATATATTTGCATGCTTGGTCCCAAGTTGGTGGAACTATTTAGGAAGGATTAGGAGGAGTGGCCTTGTTAAAGGAAAGATGTATGTCACTGGTGGTGTGCTTCCTTTGAGGTTTCAAAAGCCCCCACCTCTGCCTTAAGACTGCAGTTCAAAGTACAAGCTTTCATCTACTGCCTCAGTGCCACTCCTACCTGCCCACTGCCATGCTTCCTGCCAGACTGTCACGGACTTACCCTCTGCAACTATCAACCCAAATTAAATGCTTTCCTTTAGAATTTGCCTTGGTCATGGTGTTTTAATCACAGCAACAGAAAAGTAACTAAGATAAAACTACCCTGCCTACCTCATACTAAAACTAATTCATTTATCTTTAGGGTCTTTTGTAGCTCCAGCTGCTATCAAACTCACAATGGATTTGAGGATGTAGATGGCCTTGTACTTCTGATCCTCTTACCTTGACATTTTGAACAGTGGAATTATTAACCTGAGTCACCACGCCTGGTTTATCTGATGCTGAGAACTGAACTGAGCACTTCCTTCTTGCTAGACAAGCCCTCTCTTAACAGAGGTATAGGTATTACATCCATGTGGTGGATATATTTGAATGCTGAATGTCTGGTTCCCAATGGTACCAGTACTGTTTATGAAGGAGTAGGAGGTGTGCCAATGAGGACGGGCTTTTATGTTTCAAAGATTTATTTATTTATATAATGGATGTTTTGGCTGCATGTACAACATCTGCACACCAGAAGAGGGCATCAGATCCCACAGGATAGCAGTTATAATTGGTTGTGAGCCACCATGTGAGTGCTGGGAATTAAACTCTTAACCACTGAGCCATCTCTCCAGCCCCACGAGTTTTTTCTTTCTGTCCTCATCTTGTGAATCAGATGTGAGCTCTAAGGTACTGCCCCAGCAGCACTGCCGGACTGTCACCATAATAATTTAATTATTATAATAATCCTCTGACACTGTAAGCAAAGTCCCAATTAAATGCTTCTTTTTTTCTTTCTCTCTTCCCTTTCCTCCCCTCCCTTCCCGTCTGTCTTTTTGAGAAAAGGTTTCTCTGTGTAGCCTTGGCTATCCTGGAACTTACTCTGTAGACCAGGCTGGCCTTGCACTCAAGAGATCCACTGGCCTCTGCTCCTGACTGCTGGGATTAAAGGAATGTGCCACCACTGCCTGCCTTAAATGTTGTTTAGGTCATGGTGTTTTGCCATAGCAATAGAGCAAGCAGTAACTAAGATAATCCTTGATTCCAAGAATAGTTTAAAATAAAAAAAATGGGGGCTGGAGAGATGGCTCAGAGGTTAAGAGCACTGATTGTTCTTCCAGAGGTCCTAAATTCAATTCCTAGCAACCACATGGTGGCTCACAACCATCTGTAATGAAATCTGGTGCCCTCTTCTGGCCTGCAGGCACACATGCAGACAGAACACTGTAAACAAAATAAATAAATAAATCAATCTTTTTTTTTTTTAAAAAAAGGTAAGCAAATTTTATCTAGAGTCAGAAGTTGAGATAGGCAATAAGAGAAAAATGGGGTGTGTGTGGATGTAGTAGTGTATACCTTTAATGCCAGCATTTGGAAGGCAGAGGCAGAGGTAGGCAAATCTTTTTGACTTCAAGGACAGCCTGGTCTACATAGTGAGTTCCAGACCACATAGGAATACAAAGTGAGACACTGAAAAAAAACAAAAAACAAAAAACAAAAAACAACCAAAAAATCACAAAACAGCTTGCAACCACCTGTAACTCCAGCTCCAGGGGATTCACTGCCCTCTTCTGGCCTTCATGGGCACCCCCACCCCACCCCACCCCACCCCCACAAATAAATCTTAAAAGGGGAAGGAAGCTTAGCATACATAGCTTTTCTTCCATAGAGATCAAGTGATATTGATAGCTTCTTAGGCGAGGCATGGTACGCCACACCTTTAATCCCAGCATTTGGGACAGAAGCAGGTGCACCTCTGTAAACTCAAAGTCAGCCTGGTCTACATCGTGAGTGCCAGGGGTGACATGGGGTGAGAGGATGTGTGTCTGTGCATGTATGCACACACATGCATGCTCTTGCACACGTGAAGGTGCTGGGTGTCTTCCTCTAACAATCTCCTCCTTATTTTTTGAGACAGGGTCTCTCACTGATCTCAGAGCTCTCAGGCTGGGTTGTAAGTGTTAGGTATCAGATCCCTGGATACAGGGTACCTCTGCCGCTGAGGCAATAGGCCAAATCAAACAGAATTAATAAACCCAGATTTAATAAACAGGGCAATGCACAGCAGAGAACTCTCAGAAAGGCAGGAAAGAGACCACAGGGCAGATCTAAGGGCTGGGTCTTAAATAGCCTGTAGGCGGTCTTAAGCAGTTCCAGGGGAGCAGCTGCCAATGGTGGGCTTTCCCAGGGGCAGGGTCTGGGATAGGAGGAGTGGGGCTGGAGGGAGCTTCCCAACAGTGAACTTTTCTATGGGTGCTGGAGATCTGAACTCAGGTCCTCAGGCCTGTGCAAATACTTGACTCACTGAGCCAGCTTCCCAGGACAATCTATCTTACTTGTCTACTTATTTACATTTTTTTCTCCCCAAACAACTTCTTGAATCTTGCTTTTTAAAATCTATTTTTATTACTTTATTTATGTGAATGTACATGGTTGGGGTCAGGTATGTACATATGAGATCATTCTGCCTGCAGAGGCCAGAGGTGGTTGTGAGCTGCCTGATGTCTCTGGAAGATCAGTATGCTCCCCATTGTTGAGCATCTCTCCAGTCCCCTGTTTACCTTACATTTTTGAGACAGGGTCTCTCACGGAACCTGGTACTCATCAGTTTGGCTAGGCTGGCTGGTCAGTGAGCTCTACACCTCCCAGCACTGGGCCTGCAGATGCATGCCTGACGCTTTTCCCATAGGTACTGGGAATTGAACTCAGATTCTTATGCTTGGGAAGAAAGCACTTCACCTTCTGAGTCACTCCCCAGCCCCTTCTTTTTAAATCTGCTCATCATAATTTATCAACACAAGTGTCCTCTGGAAGATGGGCCACAGAAGCCTACAGCACCCAAGGCACACTAGAGACAACTCACTGGCAGGCTTCCCCGTTAGGGAAGTGATACTGAGTCTCCTGGTTGTTGTGGGAGACTTCTGCTGTGGTGGAGTCCGACACTGCTTTCCCAAGTCTTCCTCTGAAGCCGACGTCATCAATTCTCCAATCAGAATTCTCTCCAAACTTCCATCATCGACGCCTTTGCCCAGCCACCGCCCACACGGGAATCTGATAGGGTAGGGAAAAAAAATCTTTTGAATCTACTTTTGTTGTTGTTGTTGTGAATTTACTGCAGTCTCCAGAGATCCCATGAATCACCATTTTTAAAACTAGATTTTTGTTTTCTTTTCATTTTGAGATAGGAGTCTTACTATGCTGCTAAGGCTATTCTAGAATTTACTATGTGAAGGCTGTCAGGCTGGTTCCTACCTCCAGGCCATCTTCTGTCTTAGTTTCTAGAACACTGGGATTACAGGTGTTTCTGACATGATTGGCTTCTACTATTTTTAATTAAAGGTTTAAAAATGGCATTGTATGTAGCACAAATAATAAAAACCCAGAGACAGATACCGGGGTTCAAGCTGAAGATCAGAAAAGCAAAGCAGCAAGGCAGTGGTGGTGCACACCTTTAATCCCGGCACTCGGGAGGCAGAGGCTGGGGGACCAGTCTCTGGTCTACAAGAGCTAGTTCCAAGAGAAACTCGGTCTCAAAAAACCAACCAACCAACCAACCAACCAACCAACCAACCAACCAACCAAACAAACACACACACACACACACACAAACCACCACCACCACCACCACCACCACCACCACCACCAAAATAGAAGCAGCCAAGCCACTAGAGAGAGTTCTCACCTCTCCCAAGGCTCAGACAAACAGGTGATCCTGTCCTCAGTGTGACTGCAGAGTGCAGTGCTCTCCATCAAACCTCAGACTGCAGACTGAGCCCTGAGCTCCTTCTCCTTCCATCTCTCTAGTGCTGGGATTAAAGGTGTGTACCACACCACCTGGCCTATATGGCTGACTAGTGTGGCTAGCTTTGCACTCTGATCTTCAGGCAAGCTTTATTTATTAAAACACAAGTAAAATATCACTATAATTGTAGGTGAAGTCCATGATGTTAATATCTGAGGATTGTTTATTTCATCATGAAAAATTTCCAAAATACAGACAAGTAGAGAAGAGCTAGGTGTGGCAATATAAGCCTTTAATTCTAGCACTTGCAAGGTAGAGCTCTGTGAGTTCCAAGACAGCTTGGTCTATACCAGTGCTATACAGAGATATACAGACATACTCGTAAACAAAAAAATATTGTTTTATATGTATGACTGTTTGTGTGTTTGTATGCATGCATGTCTGTGTGCCGTGTGTGCCTGTGCCTGCAGAGGCCAGAATGAGTCCTGGATCTTTGGAACTGAAAACACCAAGTCCTCTTAACTACCAAGCTATTTCTCTAGCTTTCACAATCCATTTTTATTAGATATTTTTCTTATTCATGTGTATGTATTTGTGTGCTCTATGTACACATGTGTGCAGATGCATGTGAGTACCAATGGAGGCCAGCAAAGGCACTTGACATCCGGGGGCTGGATTTACAGGCAGTTGTAAGCCACCTGAGGTGGGTGCTGAGATCTGAGCTTGGTTTACCTGGAAAAGTATCAAGTGCTCTTAATTGCTGAGCCATCTCTTCAGTCCCATGTTTGTTTAAAAATAATTTTTGGCAACAATATTAATTATTGTTATTGTTATTATTATTATTATTATTTTCTCTCAACAGCCTTGACTGTTCTGGATCTCGTTTTGGAGACCTGGCTGGCCTCAAACTTACAGAACTCTGCCTGTCTCTGCCTCTTCAGTGCTGGGATTTAAGATGTACTCTACCACACCTGACCAATTTTAGGTCCTATAAATAGAACAAAATAATACCCCCCCCCAAAAAAAAACAAGTTCAGGAGGTAGTGGCAATGCTTTAGGAAAATTTAAAACATTCTGCTACCTAAAGAGCTATGAGACAGAGAATTCTGCCTCCGTGTCAATTTACTCACCTATATGTATGTCCTGTGATTTCATTTCTGACCATGACACAATCCACGAGCCATTTAGCTAACAGTCCGGAGTTATCATGGCCAATCTGAACTGTAGTGAGCTTCCCCAGGTTCTGGCACTGGAGAGACAGGACCACAAATTATTCTGTACTCAATTATTTTCTATTAACTTTCAGCTTTGGCAGTGGACTTTGGCTCTATCTAACACTCGCCAACCCTGTACAGTGTGCTAGGCTTAATACCACAGACAATCTCCGTGTATTCTTTGCTCCCGGGGGCCTCATACAATGAGACGGGGTGGACACTGACTGTGGGGTGGAGGCTTGCGGTGCTGGACTAGAAATGCAAACAATTATTAGAGGAGTGCTGGAGAAGCAGCATTTGCTTGTACTTGGGAAACCCAGGAACAGAGTCACTGATAAAGATTCATGCCTTACCTGAAGGGCAAAGCATTTCAGTAAGTAGGGAAGGGTCTTATTTAGATTGACTTATAGCAAATAGCTGATTTAAAAAACCACTGATTGATATTTGTACATCTTTTAACAAGGGACTAGAGGTATAGTTCAGTGGTAGGGAGCTTGTCTAGCACGATCATCTTACCTACAAGGGATATATTCTCCCAGTATGTGCCTGAAACTGCCCTAATAGCAAACCTACATATACCGTATTTCCCTATAAGCATTGCGATGTGCCACAAATACCAGGTCTTTCCACGCTTTATGCTCTGGATCCTTCTCTGCAACGTTACTCTTATGCTGTGGGGCCACTAATAAGCAAAGTAAAGGCTACATAAACACAAACCACTGCCACACCTAAATACTTAATCTGATAACCTAAATGCTTACTAAGTAATGAGTGGAAAGTTAGCACATACATAGTCATGTTAGACAAAGGCAGAATTCAAGGCTGACATGGGAACGGCACAGACTTCATTGTGCTGCTCATAATGGTGCGCAATCAGAAAACTTCTAACTGTGGACTGAGGGTGTAGCTCAGTGGTACAATTCTTGCTGACCATGTGTAAGGTCCTGTTTTGTTCCTTTGTAACAAAAGCCAAGAATGTGTAAACAGCTCCCACACGCAAAATCTTTAATCTTTTAATTTAATTTAATTTAATTTAATTTTTGAGACAGAGTTTCTGTGTGTAGCTTTGCAGTCTGTCCTGGAACTCGCTCTGTAGCCCAGGCTGGCCTTGAATTCACAAAGATTCATCTGCCTCTGCCTCTGCCTCTGCCTCTTGGGATTAAAGGTGTGAACCACCACCACTTGGCTTTTGTTTTGTTTTTAAGAGTTTCATTATGTAGCTGAGGATGGTTTTGAACTTGCAGCAATTCTTCTGCTTCCATCTCCTGAGTGCTGGAACTCCAGGCATATACCCCCATGCCTGGCTTTTTATTTTTATTATTTTGCTTTTTGAGACAGGAACTCATGTTACCCAGGCTAACCTCAAATGGTGTGGGAGAATTATCTGTATTCTGCCAATCATATATTTTAATAAAACGCTGATTGGCCAGGCAGGAAGTATAGGTGGGTCAACCAGACAGGAAGTAGAGGTGGAGAAAAGAGGCTGGGAGTATTCTGGGAAGCAGGAAGCTCCCTCCGCCATTCCTGCCCAGACCACCGCGAAGATGCAATATGTGAGCTGCCAGCTGAAAAAGGTACCAAGCCATATGGCTAATATAGATAAGGATAATGGGGTAATATATATTATAAGAGCTAATAAGTAGCCTGACCTAATGGGCCAACCAGCTTTATAACTTATAGAGATCTCTGTGTGGTTGATTTTTCTCTGGGGCTAAACAGGCTGGGGGAACCGGGCAGGATAGAAAACACAAACAAGCAGGTCCCCTCATATTACACTCAAACCTGAGGATGGCCTTGAACTTCTGACCTCCTGCATCTGTCCCTCAAGTGCCAAGGTCACAGGAACACACCACCGCCCAGCTTCTATGAATTTTTGTTTTTGGAATTTTCCATTTTATATTTCTGGACCACAATCATAGAAAGTGAAATTATGAATGAACCGTAGGATAAATGTCCTTGCTTGCTCTTTGTGGACAAGTAAAAAACAAAGCAATGGTAATAGGAATTGTAAAATATGAATGTGAATTAAATTCTGACTGAAAAAATCTGATAATGAAAGGATCACAGACTGACTACATGCTGGACTGAATGAAATGTCAGAGCTGTAAGTTCTGAAAGCATTCGCCTTGTTTATCAATGAAAGGCATCATGTGACCCAGCTGAGGGACATGTTAATACTTTTTGTTTCATAACTGGTAGGCCAAAAGAACCCCAAGGTTTTAAACTTTTACATACAAATAGATGTGAATCTGCCACACGCATAAAGCCAAGTGGACTGGGCTACGGATTATGATTCCAAGTGAAAATGGCTGTTCCTGGACCCCAAGGAAGGAGAATGAGAACAGAACATTCATCAGTACTACTTCTTTGCTGAAGTGCAAATAGGTTATCTTACTCCTCACGTGCCAGGACCAACCCGAAGACAGGCTCAAACATATGGAAATACTTTACTAGTGATACTCAAAACTACAATATGAAAAGTCATGCTTACAGGAGCCGGGTGTTAGTGACACCAAGGCAGGCAGATCTCTGAGTTCAAGGCCAGCCTGGTTCACAGAGCGAGTTTCAGGACAGCCAGGGCTGTTACACAGAAAAACCCTGTCTTGAAAATCAAAGCAAATGGGCTAGAGAGATGGCTCAGAGGTTAAGAGCACTGACTGCTCTTCCAGAGGTCCTGCGTTCATTTCCCAGCAACCACATGGTGACTCACAACCACCTGTAATGAGATCTGGTGCCGTCTTCTGGCCTGCAGGCATACATGGAGGCTGAACACTGTGTACATAATAAATAAATAAATGTTTTTTTTTAAAAGCAAAGCAAAACAAAACAATACTTTTCTATAAATGCCACTATGTGCTTCAAAAGCCATAAGCATGGACATCAGTTCTCTGGTTCTGAGGAACACTTTAGGGAAAACATTTACTACAGCTTCTGTTTGTTATGTTCTGTGTTAGGCACTGAGAATCAAGGAACAGGACCTGGTAAAGCCTACAACAAGTACAAAAATAGGGTTTAGCAATGAAAAAAAAAAAGCAAACTAGTGTAAGCTGCTTCAGACAATTATAGGGATATAATAACAAAATGATCCTATATGTTTGCATATTCCTTTATTTCATTTGTTTCACAAAAAAATGAAAAAACCAAACCAGAGTTCTTCTGTAGAAGTAAAAAGGTATTGGCAAACCTACCTCAAACGTCATCTCAAGTAGGTTTTTTGGAATCTGCATTATTCCGGTGTCTCCTAGCTCTCCCGAAACACAGATCCACGGGTTTGATGTAATGATCGCATTGCTCAGCTTTTTAATTGGAATTATCACTGCTCTATAAGGAATCACTGAAAGAAAAACACAGAAGTGAATTTAGAAAAAGTCACAACTATCTATAATTACTAGTTGCATTTAAGATATATTTTGCTTTTTTATTTTGTTTTTCTGTATATGAACGTTTTGCCTGCATGCATGGATGTACACCACGTCTATGTCTAGTGACCTCAGGGGTCAAAGGACAGAGTCAGATCTCCTGGATGGAATTATGGTACTAGAGTTATGAATACCATGTGGGTGTTCAGCAAGAACAAGTGCTCTTAGCCACTGAGTCATCTCTCTAGCCCCTGATATTTGGTGATCATTTTTTTAAACAATTTTTAAAGATTTTATTTATTTATTACACATACAGTGTTCTGTCTGCATGTGTGCCTGCAGGCCAGAAGAGGGCACCAGATCTCATTACAGGTGGTTGTGAGCCACCATGTGGTTGCTGGGAATTGAACTCAGGACCTCTGGAAGAACAGCCAGTGCTCTTAACCTCTGAGCCATCTCTCCAGCCCCTATGATCACTTTTTACGATACACTCACTACGGGCAGTGAGGTGGCTCAATGATTAGAGGCACTTGCCGCCAAGCCTGACAACCTGAGCTTACTCCTGGCCTGCACATGGTGGATGGAGAGAACCAACCCCACAGAAGGGCAGGATTAGGTTACTGAGGTGAGTCCCCTGCAGCAGGAGTCTGGGAGGGTCAGATGTGTCTTTTTAAAGACCTCACCACTAGATGTCACCATCCTGTCATGGACCTTGGCTAAATGTAAAAGCACAGGAAAATTTGGAATTTAAAACAGAAACTAGGGGGCTGGAGAAATGGCTCAGTAGTTAAGAGCACTGACTGCTCTTCCAGAGGACCCGGGTTCAATTCCCAGCACCCACATGGCAGCTCACAACTGTCTGAAAATACGGTTCCAGGGGATCTGACACCTTCACACCAATGAACATAAAATAAAGATAAATAAATCATTAAAAAAATTTAAAAAACAAAAAAAAAAAAACCCAGAAACTATAGGAGAAGGCTGCTGACCGTGGGGTCACCACAGGTCCATATGTAGCTTTCTCATACAGCCTAGGACCTGTGGGGGGGGGGGAACGGTCCCGCCCAGAGTTAGCAGGGCCCACCTATATCAATTTACAATCAAGGGAGGAAAGAAAAAGAAAATTAAAAAAAAAAATCCCTCACATACATGCCTCCAGGCTAATATGATCTGGGTAATCCCTCAGTTGAGACTCTCTTCTTAGGCTGTATGAAGCTGCCAGTTAAAGTGAAATGGGATGCTCACAGAGAAACCCTGTGTGAAAAAAACCAACAAAACAAAACAATCCCCCTCAGCCTTCCCCAAACACCTCTGTGTGTGTGAGAGACAGAGTGTGTGCGTGTGTGTGTGTGTGTGTGTGTGTGTGCGCACGCGTGCACGTGTATGCCTATCATGTAACCTTGGTGCATGTGTGGAGCTCCGAGGACAACCTTCTGCCACGGGAGCTAAACTCCAGTTGTCAGGCTTTGGGGCAAGCACCCTTATCCACTGAGCTATCTTGCTAGATCTCCCTTTTTTTGAGATAAAACTTTCCTGTGTAGGAGAGATCAGTCTTGAATTTTTGATCTTCTTGCCTCAGCTACATGCCCAGTCTTTAGACAGGGTAGGCAAGTGCACTATAGCTGAGTTAGAGTTTCACCTTTAACAACTTAGAATCTTATAGGTGTACTAACTGAATGAACTGGAAATTATTAGGTTATTACTTATTAGACACTAAGTAGGTCCTCCCCAACTCCATCTTTAGTTATCTGCTTTTTTTCAAAGACCAGAAATCAGAGCCTTCGTAATTCTAGTCAGTGAAATGCCAGTGATGTTTACTAAGATTTTGGAGAGATTATGCTTTTTTCTTTTTTTTTTTTTAAAGCCACAGTTCTGTGGGACAATGGTCCAGTACCCTGTAAAGATTTGTCTCTTGCACTTGTTTAATAAAATGCTGATTGACCAGTAGTCAGTCAGGAAGTATATATAGGCAGGGCAACCAGAATAGAATTCTGGGAAGAGGAAAGGCTCAATCTACAGTCACTCAGACCGAAAAGAAGCAAGATGAGAATGCCTCACCAATAAAAGGTACCAAGCCACATGGAAAACACAGACAAGAACTATGTATGGGCTAATTTAAGATGTAAGAATGAATTAGTAAGAAGCCTGAACTACTAGGCCAATCAGTCTATAATTAATGTAGACCTCTGTGTGTTTCTTTGGGACTGAATGGCTGAGGGACCGGCGGGACAGAAACCTCTGCCAATACAGCAGACTGCAGCTTTACGCATTTCTCTTTTGTTCTAGGTAACATTTTCTATCACAGATTGGGTTTTGTGGAAAGCAGATGCTGAGCCAGAAACGAGCTCACATGGAGCTCGCTCCGAGGATCAGCCTGTGACAAAAAAAATCAAGACTGACAGTGAAAATGTTGAGCTCTGCTTCATGAAGTCTCAACAAAGGCTTCACCGGTACAGCAAGCTGTGAGCCGGTTCTTTGATTAGGATGCAGCAACGTTGGTCCTGGCAGGAAGTTAACAGCCCAGTGTAGTCGGCCATCCCCCTGATTCCCCCAGACAGGGTTTCTTTGTCCTGGAACTCGCTCTGGAGACCAGGCTGGCCTCAAATTCAGAGATCTGCCTGCCTTTGCCTCCTTAGTGCTGGGAATAAAGGTGTGCACCACCACTGCCTGGCTAGGGCAGTGTTCTCCACATATTACAATAGGTCTCACTTTTGAAAATATGAATACTTTTATTTACCTTTTTTTTTTTTTCAGAGACAGGGTTTCTCTGTAGCTTTGGAGACAGTCCTGGAACTAGCTCTTGTAGACCAGGCTGGCCTCAAACTCACGGAGATCAGCCTGCCTCTGTGTTCAGAGTGCTGGGATTAAGGGTTTGCGCCGCCACCACCACCCAGCAAATACTTTTAAGAGTGACTTGAGAATTTCCCTACCCCTAAGTCAGGGTTTTTGTTTGTTTGTTTGTTTGTTTTTTGGGAAAAGGTCAGGATATATAGCCAACACTCACTGGTTTTGAACTGACAATTTTCTTGTTTCAACTTGTGAGTGTCGGGACTACAAGAATTTATCACATGCCTGCTCACCTGGAAACTGTTCACGTAAATGTCAACTCTCCATACTCACTGATAGTGGTGAACACACTGGTAAAGCAGAAATAGTCCACAGCATTGAGGGAGAGCAGGTGGTAGAGGAACTGCTCTCTCTCCTCCTCACAGCGTAGAAAGGCGTACCGCTTATAGAGCTTCCTGAAAAGGTTGACACAGGCACAAAACAGTGGCTACAATTTTCATTCTTAAATCATTGTGTAAAGTTAACACCTTCTGAGCCAGGGAGCTGGTTCTCTACCATCTGCCAACTCTAACGCCTTAATTAAATCCCTGAGACTCACATGGGGAAGCAGTGAACACAACATCCAGTAACATCCACAGGTATGTTCATTTCCACACATGCACTTGAGCTAAATAAAAAACTAAAGATCAATCAAACAAAAAGTCCCCTCAAGCTCCAGGCTGGAGAGATAGTGAGTGGTTAAGAGCACTGGCTGCTCTCCCAGAAGACATGAATTTGATTCCTAGCACAAACATGCCATTTCATATCTGTAATTCCAGTCCCAGGGGACTGGGCATTCTCTTATGACCTTCTGTGCACTGTACAACGTGGGGCATAAACACACACACACAAAACAAACAAGCAAACCCTCACTTTACCACGTGGGCGCTGGGAATTGAACCCAGGTGTGCTCTTACATGCCGAGCCATCCCTTCAGCCCCCTCTACCTTATTTATTTATATATTTATATACTTATTTCTGAAGCATTTCTCCTTGGCCCAGGAGTTTACTGATCCACCTGTTTGTGCACCACCCCTTCTACTCCGAGACACACAACACTAAGCTGGGATTACAGGCCTGTGCTACCACACCTGTGTGGGTGCTAGGGCTCTGAACGTGGGTCCTTAAGTTTACCTGGCAGGGTGTTTCACTGACCGAATCATTTCCTCAGGCTCCATTTTTATTTTATTTAATTATGCAACCCAGGCTGCCTCAAACTTGCTACATTGCTAAGGATTACCTTGAACTTCTGATCCTCCTGTCTACAGCTGTGATTAGAGGTATGTACCACAATATCCCATTTAATCAGTACTAGGGACCAAACACACGACTTCATGTATGCTAGGCAAGCATTCTACCAAGTGAGTTACAGCTTAATCCCTTATACTATGTTTTTTGTTTTGTTTTTTTAAATCAACCTACTCTTTGGACATTAAGATTTATTCTAAGCTTGGAGTGGTAGCACTCATGAGGCCGAGATAGGCAGATCTCTGAGTTTGAGGTCTACCTGATCTAAGTTCCAGGACAGCCAAGGCTATGTTGTAAGACCCTATTTCAAACAAAACAAAACAACTCATTCTACAATGCTCCAGGGTGATAGACGTGAATGTAAGAATACAAACAGTCCTGGTTATCATGTATAGGTCCTACAGAAAAGCCCCGGGCAAGGTTTGAATCAGGTTCTTTGCAAATCTTTGCTCAAGAACTCTAACTTCTTAGCGTTCAAGTAAGTCCTAATGTTCTTATCATTTAAATGGATTTCTGGCTGGGCATGGTGACTCATACCTTTAATCCTAGCACTCAGAAGCCAGAAGAGGGCACCATATCTCATTACAGACGGTTGGAAGCCACACATGGTTGCTGGGAATTGAATTTAGAACCTCTGGAAGGTTCCTTCCAGAGGAATGAACCTTAACCACTGAGCCATCTCAACAGCCCAGTATTTTCTTTCTTCTCATCTTTCCTCTCCTCCCTCCCTTTCTCACTCTCTCTCTAAGATTTATTATGTATACAGTATTCTGTCTGCATGTATGCCTGCACATCTGAAGAGGGCACCGGACCACATTAGAGATGGCTGTGAGCCACTGTGTGGTTGCTGGGAATTGAACTCAGCCAGTGCTCTTAGCCTCTGAGCTATCTGGCAGGTCCACAAAGGTATTTTCTGAAGCACACCTGTTACACAAGAATGTATGTGTTCATGAACCAGGATTCATGATGAAGGAGCTGGTGTTTAGCTTACATCACAGAAACAAATGTCTTACTTGGTCAGCAGCTGGTTGGAGAGCAACTGCTTAAGATGCTGTGACAAGAGCTTCTTTTCTAGAGACAGTCTTATCCACGCCCGGGCTCGGCCAACATCGGTCTTGATCTCACTCATGTTTTGAATATGCCTAAAAATCAGTACCAAGAAAAAGATCTATTTTGCATTTAGATACATCTTGTTTTTAGACAACATATATGAAATGCCTTATTCTTAAAACAATGCATCTGATTCAAATAAATCACAGTCAAAACAAAAGTTCTGTGTATCCCTGGCTATCCTGGAACTCACTCTGTAGACTAGGCTGGCCTGTGAACTCACAGAGATCCACCTGCCTCTGCCTCCCAAGAGCTGGAACTAAAGGTGTGTGCCGCCACCTTGGACGACACGCAATCGCCAGTCATGGCAAATGTGACGGATCAAAAGTAACTGATCAATTTGTTAATATTTTTCCATTTCTAAATTATCCTTAAAGAAAGTCATATATAGGATCACACCGTCTTTACAGAAGTCCAGGAGAGCAACACTGCCATCTAGATTCCTGTTTTCACAAATAAACAACTGATAACTATTGAAATTAGCAAGGATGTGATTAACTTGCTCTTCAGCCCCAGTCATAAAAGTCTAGAAGAGACTTTTAAGGATAACTTTAAGATACAAAAGAACTAAAAAATACTAACAATACTGGACCCAGAAAAATTCTTTTATATTTAGATGAAGAAATGGAACTCATCACGTAGACAAGGCTGGCTACAAACTCATAGATCCATCTGCCTCAGTCTCCCGAGGGTCTGAGATTAAAGGCACATTCCACCATGCCTGATTTGAACTCTCTGTAGATCAGGCTGGCCTCTAACTCAGAGATTTGCCTGTCTCTGCTTCCTGAGTGCTGGGATTAAAGACACGAACCACCAGCACTGTAACACACTTTTGAGGGCAGTCAAAACCTCAGAGATTTCACCTGAATTTCAGATCTGGTTGTACACCAGAACTGACATTGTACCAGGCATGGTGGTACATGCCTGCAATACCAGCATTCAAGAGTCAGAGGCAAGCAGGCTACTCAAGAAAATAAAAAACAAAACAATAAAGTGTGCGTTTGGAGGTAGACTGTATACATTTGCACATGAGTGCAGGTGTCCAAAGAGATCACAGACAGTGTTAGATGACCTAAGTGCAGTCACAGGCATTGTAAGCTGCTTGGCTGGGTGCTGGGAACCAAACTCAGGTCCCCACAAGAACACTCTAGGTTGGGGCTGAGAGCACTGACACTCCAGAGACCCAGGTTCAGTTCCCAGCTTCCTCCCAGCAGAGAAAAGGAAGACCAGGAAAAGAAAACAAGTAGATATAAAAACCAACTCAAGTTAAAAGTCTTTGCTCGTGTGACTCACCACAACACACACACACACACACACACACACACACACACACACACACACACACACACACGAGGTGCTTATAATCCTTGTGCTCGGGAGGGGCTTTCCAGCTAGCCCACCCAGCCCAATTGGCAAACTGAGATTCCCCTGCTTCTGCTTCCAAGTGTTGAATTCAAAGGCACATGCTACCACAAAAAGCACAAAGTCCTTTTTTCCCCTTTATTTTCTTTATTCTCCCAAGATTTATTTTTACATGTATTGCTGTTTTGACTGTATGTATGTCTCTATGAGGATACCATATCCCCTAGAACTGGAGTTATAGACAGTTGTGAGCTGTCATGTAGGTGCTGGGAATTGAACCCAGGTTCAAATCTAGAAGACTAACCAATGCTTTTAACCACTGAGCCTTCTCCCTAGCCCCAGAACAAAAAGTCTTAAGTATCACGGTTATTTTATATTTTATACACACATTTTAAAAGCTCATCTTAAATGTTGACTAAATATTGTGCTGAAAATGTTTATAAGAAAAAAACCTAACCATTTTAGTCCCCAACCCCCCTTTTTCTTTTTTGTTTTATTTTGCTTTTTTTAAGACAGTTTCTCTGTGGTGTAACAGCCCTGGTTGTCCTGGAATTTGCTTTGTAGACCAGGCTGCCCTTGCAGAGAGACCCATCAGCCTCTGCCTCACGGGTGCTGGAATTAAAGGCGTGTGCCAACCACTCCCTGGCAAGAAATGCTAATTTTAATATTTGTATTTCTAAAGCTATATCTTGTTGGGTGATAGTGACGCACAACTTTAGACCCAACAGAGGCAAAGGCATGTGGGTCCCTGAGTTTGAGACCAGTCTGACCTACAGAGTGAGTTTTATGATAGTCAGGGTTACACAGAGAAACTGTCTCAAAAAACAGACAAACAAACAAAGATAAAAAGAAAAACTATCTCTCTAAGATCAATTTTTCTGCCAAGCCACCTACCGTTATTTCTATTTTTTGGCCTGTATCTATAGATAACATGCACTAAAGAGATTCTTCAAAGAGAAGTTACAGTTCAGAGCTGTTTTAGAACACTCTTCCCCAACTGCATCTCCCCTTTTATTCAATGTCAGAAGAAAACAACAAAACAGTACAATAGTAAAATAATTAAAATTCAGGCTGGAGAGATGGCTGTGCAGTTAAAGGCACTTGCTGCTCTTCCCTCAGGTTTGTGCTCAGTGCCCACACACAACATCCCTGACTGTGGTTTCAGGAGATCTAGTGCCCTCCTCTGAACTCCGTGGGCACTAGGCATGCATATGATTTACATACATGTAAATGCAGGTCAAACGCTAATACTCACAAAATAAAAATAAATTAAAAAACCACATCTATAATTAGAAAAATACTTTCTTCAGAATATGTAAACAAAAGTTATGGTTAAAATCACGTGAGCAATTTAGATGAAAGCTACGCTTTACAGTTATCACCGTCCATTAACATGTGTAACAAATACCTCATGTCTTGAATTAGAGAGACCCTGAGTGTTGGTAACATAACTCCTGAGTCAGATTTTCTTCTTTCTGGTCCAAGGGCAACTATGTAGAAAAATATTAGCAAAGTATTAGGAAAATAACAGTGAGCATTTATACTTTAATTTTTAAACTCTTTGAAGACAAGTCTTTCTCTGTTACCCTGGCTGGTCTTGAACTCACAGAGATCCACCTGCCTCTGCCTCCCAAGTGTTGGGATTGAAAGGATGTACCACCATGCTTGACCACTGATACATTTTAAAAATAATTTTTAAAAAAATGTATGAGACTGCTGGGCAGTGGTGGTGCACACCTTTAATCACAGCACGTCGGAGACAGAGACAGGAGAGTCTCTGTAGAGTTTCAGGCCAGCCTGGTCTACAGAGTGAGTTCCAGGACAGCCAATGCTACAGACAGAGAAATCCTGTCTCAAAAACAAACAAATTCTGAGATTATAATCTAAATGTATCATTTCCCTCTTCCCTTTAACCCTCCCAATGTACCCTCTGTTCTCCACGCTTCGCTCTCTTTCAGGTTCACAGCCTTTTGTCATTGGATATGTGCATGTATACATACTTCTAAATACATAAATACAACCTGCTCAGTCTGTATGCTACTTGTATGCATGCATGTATGTATTTTTTAAAGATGACCATTTAAGTGTCAATACTTCTATTAAAACAGTAAACAGGTGTGTTCTTTCTAAACAAGCTGTAGCTATATTTGGAAATCCAAAACAGATATTGTATGAAGTACATCTAGTAAATAATGTAATATGTGCAAGTTCTGGTTATGAGTCAGCTACTTAGCTATTCAGTCTCACAGTGCTGGATAATTACTCAAAAGCAATGTTAAGACGTTAGGTTATTAAGTTATGTGAGCCTTTCTGGACTTATGAATTGGAAACCTATTTCTGGCTTTTTGCTTTTATGAGACACTGTCTCATGCACCCAAGGCTGTCCTCTAACCCTGAATGTTAGGGTTACATGTATGTGATATGATTCTGGGGACTGAACCTAGGACATCCTCAGCCCAGAAAACATTTAGTATTAAATAGGGAAGACCCTTTCTTTTCTTTTCTTTGATAGAGTTTCTATATATAATAGCCCAGGCTATCCTGGAACTTGCTTTGTAAACCAGGCCTGCCTCTGCCTGCCAAGTGTTAGGTTTAAAAGTGTGTGCCACCATTTCCAGCTTTTTAAAATTTATTTATTCAGTTAATATTACTGTTTTGGCTCTTTAGGCTGGTAAATTCCTCCTTCAAAGCTCAGAATCCTAACTACCATAGCATGCAAAGTGAGTATTTAAACTGACTTCTAAAAGTATAAGGTAGATGAATGATTTTCTTTTCTTTCTGAGACATGGTCTCACTCTGTACTTGGCTGTCTTGGAATACACCATGTAGTCTAGGTTGGCTCAACTCACACAGATCTAGCTCCACTGGCCTCTCAAATGTTAAGATTAAAGGTGTGCACCTGTCATACTTGGTGAGTAATTCTCTTATAAATTAAATGGTTAAACACCACATTTATTTCACTTTATTAAAACTTTTAAAAAATAGATTAAGTTAGAGTGTTTTGCCGTCACGTATATTGGTGTACACACACACACACACACACCCCATGTGCATGTTTTGCATGTGTTTAGTCCATAGAGGTCAGAAGAGGGTATCAAATTGCCAGGAACTAGAGATAAGGATGGTTGTGAACCATAATCTGGGTTCTGGAAATCAAACCCAGGTCCTCTAGAAAAGCAACAAGTGTTCTTAAGCACTGATCTCTCTCTCCAGTTCCACAGCTAACATTTATAAAGGAAGGAAAATGACTCTTACAGCAAGCATCGAGCACACAGCCACTGACTATGAAGTGGAAACGGGTGTTCAGCCTCAGTTTTGATGAGAAGCAATGAAATTTTATATCCTTTCTTCATTTCCATTTTCTCTTTTATAAATGCAAACTAGACTGAAGCACCGCACACTGATGAAACTTAAAATGTGGACTTTGCTTTATATTATAGCTATTTTTTTCTCTGATTTTAGCTCCGCTGATGCTGAGAGGTCAGGATATAATACCGGCACAGATGCCTGTCTCCTGCCCAGGACAAGGAAGAGTCGGTGACAGTTTTAGTGTATTAGACCTTTATGTTTTTGGTGCTTGGTGAAAAGGCTGGACTCATATCTAGTAGATATAAATAATCACTGTGGGACTGACAAGGAGGCTCCAGAGGGTGGTCAGGTCAATCTATCCATGCAAGTTGGGAAGTGACAGGGCCTCTCTACATAGCCTTGGCTATCTTAGAACTCACTCTGTAGACCAGGCTGTCCTTGAACTCACAGAGATCCACCTGCCTCTTCCTTCAAGGGCTGGGAATTAAATGGGTGTGCCACAACATCTGGCTTAGGGAAGGCAATTTTCAAACTTGTACTTTAAAGACTAATCTCTTTGATACTCAGGGAAGCAAGGCACACTGAGAACATTGTCTTAGACACTCTCAGGGAATATGTGTTTATCTTCCTATTAAGACCATCCTAGCTAAAGTGTGTTATTAAAGTGCATTGTTCTTTGGAGGTAGAAAGTCAAATGGCTCAGAGAATGACTCTCCATTCTGACATTACAAGACAGCTATACAAATACTAAGAAATAGTGTGAAGGGTATAATGGCACAAACCGGTACAGCCAGCATTGGGAAGGTGAAGGCAGAAGAATCAGGAGTTCAAGGACATCTTTAGCAACAAGAAATTCTGTCTCAACAAACAAAACTGAACAAAATAGCAATCTCAAAACAAAATGCTGAGAAGTGGGAGAAGATTATGAAGCAGAAGAGTTGGAACTGTCTGTAATCAGTAAGTTGGCCAGAGGGAAACAACGGAGGAGCCAGAAAGCTCATGAGATTCTCATCATGAAAAGGAGGTCTAGAGGTATAGATCAGTGATGGAGTGCTTGTCTACTGTGTGTGAGGCCTGGGCACAATGCTTAGCAACAAAACCAACACATTAAGCAATAAAGATAAAGCCTTTATTAAAGCAGCGGCTTTCACAATAGTTGTCCTACAGGCAAAGGGCTGTTAATTTGGACAGGAAATGTGTTCCCCAAAATTGTGTTTATGGCTTAGCCCACAATACAGTGCTCACATTTGGGAGGTGACTGAATCATCTGGACTCTAGCCCATTCAGTAGATCAAGTCAATGACGGGCAAACAGTCTGGTGGCACTGGGGGGTGGCAGAAACGGGAAGGCGGGGCCTACGTAGGTCAAGCAGGTCACTGAGAGCAGGCCTTGGAAAAGTGTGCTTTGTCCCAGCGCCACCTCCATTCCCCGCAGCCCTCAAGTGGGCAATGTCACTCTCATGCGTTTTTAATTCTAAAGCTTACTTTTTAATGCTTCTTTATCATCTTTCTTCCCATTTTCTGTCTGTTTATCACTAGACTGGAAGCAGCTTAATGGTTGAACATGATGTTCCTGAACCCTGTGGATGAGGGACTTCTCAATGGTCTAGACTCCTACCCGTAGACTGGAGACAGTGAGAGTAGCTCTCTTGTTTAAATGTTTGGATTAGTGCTTTGTATAAAGTTAGCTCTCAATATGTAGTCTGAAATCTGCCTGACTGAAATCTTTCTTAAAGATCCTCTCAGCCACAGGTTTGTGTTTGTAAATTAAAATCTATCCCCAACAAGTTTTGTCAAATTAACTTTCCATTATAAAACCCAGTATAAATTAACTTTTCTATCATTTCCCCCCTTTTCACTGAGGCAGCCTCACAACACAGCTGTGACTAGCTTTGTATTCAGAGATCCATCTGCCTCTGCCTCTGCCTCTGCGGTGTGCCCCATCCCCACGCCTGGCCGTTAATACACAGAGGGCCTGGAGAAGCCAAGGCACAGTGGATGCTCTGTAAATGCTAAAGAAATGAGCAACACAGGGCCAGATACTTGAACCTTAAATGTCAGTTTAGAAATTTGTTTTAGGGAGAGATTTAGAAAAGAAATACTATATCTTTCAGTAGTAAATTGAGTGATACTATGATGATATGGGAGAAATAAATTGATCAAATTAGAAGTTATTTCAAAGGCTAGCTATTGGGTAAACTAAGATAGTAACAGCCAGTTAGAGCAGAGAATGAACAATACTCAAAACCAATATTAAGTATTTAAATAAAATGTTTCAATTACCACCTTCCTTTAATGTTTTTTTTGGGGTTATTAAAACTGAAACCAAAATCTTATACATGTTACACCTGTGCCTACCAAAATGAATCATGCGATGAAAGGATAAAAATAAGCCGGGCAGCGGAGGCGCAGCAGGGCCATGGGGGCGCAGCCGGGCGGTGGGGGCTCAGCCGGGCGGTGTTGGCGCAGCCAGGTGGTGGTGGCACAGCCAAGCAGTGGGGGCGCAGCCGGGTGGCGGTGGCGCAGCCAGGTGGTGGGGGCGCAGCCGGGTGGCGGTGGCGCAGCCAGGCGGTGGGGGCTCAGCTGGGCGGTGGTGCACACACCTTTAATCCCTGGACTTGGGAAGCAGAGGTAGGCAGATCTCTGACTTTTAGGCTAGTCTGGTCTATAGAGCAAGTTCCAGGACAGCCAGGACTACACAGAGAAATCCTATCTTGAAAAAAAAAAAAAAACAAACAAAAAACAAAACGTAAGAGCATCCCTATTCATTCTACTGGGATAAAACTAGACCTTTCACATGCTAACAAGGATGTGTTCTACAGCTGGGCTACAACTCCAGCCATGCTACAAATTAAAAAAAATTACATTTATTATATAAATGTATGTGCTGTGCATATGTGTTTATATATGCCCCATGGCATATATATGGAAGTCAGAAGCCAACTTGTGAGAGTCAGTTTATTTTCCTCCACCACGTATGTCTCCAGGATGAATTCAGTTTTTCAGGCTTTGGCAGCAAGCACCTTAACTGCTGAGCCATCTCATCAACCTTACCCTCAATTTTAATATTATGTAGCCCAGGCCAACCCCCAACTAACTACGTAGCCAAGATGAACCTGAACTTCTGCTTCCCTCTCCCCAGTGCTGAGGCTGCCAGGCGTACAGGCAGTGTACCACTAAGT